TTCGAAAACGTAACACATTTACATCGACTTACTACAAATGGAATGAAACTTTCGACACTTGTAGTGCGTGGATCTGAAAGCAAAGCTGTGAGTTCAAAAATTTGAAAGCCATATAAAGAGGTCCGAATAAATGCGCAGGGTGGTTTCTTCCAGCCAAAATGGACTTAGATAGTTCCTCTATTCCAAATAATAGAAGTCTGAAAATTTTATTATACATATTGCTCGTTGATATGGTCATTTTTGCTGTGGACGTTTTCACTTCCCTAAGTATGCTGCTTATCTGGAAATCGCTATAGGAAAATGCCACCTTTGGACGTTATTTTTGGACTCAAATATCTCTATGGAGAGACAATATATTATTTTTCACATTTATTAGTGCCTTAGAATTGTCAAACTGTTCTGTCTTTAACGATGAAATCCGCGAACCTCTAGTTTGTTCCTGGACAGAAGGGAAAATGTGTTTTTAGAATGTAGTATCCCATTTTTCTCAACGTGTGTCCTTCCTTTAGGCAAAGATATCTGATTCCGTAAGACGGCCATATAGTGAGTTTTCATCAGAGCCTCTATGTCAACTATTCTTGAAATTTTCGTCTTTGGCCAATACGACCTGACCAAATTAGCCGATTCTTGAGTTTTTATCAAGAAAATTGATATTTTAGCTGTTATAAATACCATACAAAAATTCAAGAGTCGGTCAGCTTGGGCAAGTCGCATTGGTCAAAGACGAAAATTTCAAGAAGGGTTGACCTAGAGACTCTGATGAAGACTCACTATATGACAGTCTTACTGAATCAGACATTTTTATCTGAAGGGATGGTGCCCAGTTGTGAAAAATTGAATAATACATTCTAAAGATACCTTTGCCATTCAGTCCAGGAACAAACTAGAGGTCAGCGGATTTCATCGTTGGACACAGAACAGTTTGACAATTCTAAGATACTAATAAAAGTTCAAAATCCATTTTTGCCTTCAGAGAGATGTTCAAGTCGAAATACGTCCAAAAATGGCATTTTTCTGAAGCGGTTTCCCAAAAAACCAGAACAGTACAGAAAAAACGTCAGCTACAAAATAAATAAATGAGCACATCAAAGAATAACATCTGTAATGAACTTTTCAAACTTCTATCGCGTGAAACAGATGTGGTAACTAAAGCTCACTCCGACTGTGAAATCCTACCTTGCTCATTTATTCGGATCCTTTTACAAGCTTTTCAAATTTTTTGAACACACGCTTATGCTTACAGGCCCTAGTACTACAAATGTCGAAAGTTCCATTCCATTTGCAGTAAGTCGATGTAAATTTGGTACGTTTTCCAAAGAATTACTCAATGCCATCTAGATTTCTTGCTTAAAGCGTTACAGTTGACTTTCTTATCTCATTAGAGGCGTTGGAGGTTCTATTTCAAAAGCATAGCTTGCGTTTATCGAGTTTTTATTTCGTTGCCGTAAAAACTAGTTTTTATGGAAGTTGATGCTAGAATTGTCACTTTCTGAAGTAATACTTGGCTTCTTTCTTGAAATTTACTACCCTAATACTCAAAGCACTCACACAGTCGAAATCAGCACAGAAAGCTGAGTTGACGTATCGCTGTTTCGAAATATCCTGAAAAGGTTTTGCTAAAGTGCGATTCACTCTTGTTTGCTACTTCTTTCTTTTTCTGTTGTGATATCGTACTAATGACATATATATACAGTTCTGTGAAAAATTGTAGAATCACCTTCCATCTTATGCTTCTTTCGAATTTTATTTTCTATCAATAACAATTCTTCGTTTTAAATTGACCATGAATATATAAAATCGAATGTGCGCTTTCAGTATTCATTATAATAAATACTGAAAGAGCACATTCGATTTGATATATTCACGATCAATTTAAAACGAAGAATTGTTATTGACAGAGAATAAAATTCGAACGAAGTCTAAGATGGAAGGTGATTCTATAATTTTTCACAGACCTGTATATATGTATTTGTTTTTGTTCTTTCCTTTCGTTTTCTTCATCGTAAGATACTTTCCAAAAGGTTTTCTGCTATTAATGTTGTTAAGACATCTGCCTTCTCGCTCATGTTTTCTTCCATCTACACTTAATTGTATTCCTAGTTCGCCAGTGTATATAGCGACTGTTTTCGAAAAATAAAGAATCCTTATTATCGATCAGTCTGATTCAAACTCAACACGAATACTCTCATTTTACTTCAAAGTTTCCCTGCTGTCCGTAGGATTAGATCGAAAATTCAATAGATACAAGAGACCGCTATTGGTCAACATTCATCTGCTATATTCGGATTCACAAACAAGTCCCACGTATGTAGCTCTCTTTTCATAGTCAGAGTGATTTTTTGAGAAAATCGGCTTTTTCATCTAAGCCTGATTATGGGAGGGAAATTACGGTTACGTTATCAAGTAACTGGTAATGTATACAGTTTTCGTTCCTTAGTAACGCAGCTAATGGATGATAGTACCTGACCACCATTGAGTTCTAGAGAAAATAACTTACTGTTACTTAGTGAAACAACTGGTAATTTGTAAGCTACCAATTACTTGATAGTCTGTAACTCGGCCAATTACCAGTTACTGATAACAATAACGGATCGGTTATCAGTTACCGATAACTGGTAGCGATTTTTGTCAGTTACCTGGATAACCAATAATCGATCGATTAGTAGTTATTTAATTACGTAATAGTAAGTTCTCGATCTTAGAACACGCTACTGGTAAGTTATCGCTACCTATCAGCTGCTTTACCAAGGAATGAAAATTGGGCAGGTTACCAGTTACTTTGGTAAGTGGTAACGGATAACTCTCGATTATCCGTTACCTGGTAACGTAACTATCTGGTAGCCATAACTCCCCACTCCTAACCACGAGGGAGGCCAGGGAGAAACTTTTACAGCAAAATAATAGTTCTCAGAACATTTTGAAACACCTATACATTAGTTCAGTTTACACGTAAGAAACTACGAGTTCTTTATATTGCAGCAGAGGTAAAGAGTATTACAATATAAATATGAACAAAATTTTCTTTTTAATTATTGAATAGAAGTTTTGGTATTTCGACCATTTTTCGGCCATTTTCGAAAGTAAATTTATTATTACTCATTCTGATGTTGTTCAGAAGCAAAATCATAATCGTAATGCTATACCTATTATCATGTTGCTTAGAACCTATCCATAGCCTTGATACTATAGTCAATGAGTGTTTGTGATTGATTAAATCTAATGAAAAAATCATTACGATAACTTTGAATATATGAAGTAGAGAACTACTATGAAAATCATTTACTCTAATATTACTTAATAAGTAACTATATTAACGTTGAGAACTTTCCAACTCAATCTGAGTTCATCATGAGGCATATGAGCCCATGTTTGTTATGAACGTTTATGTGCGTTGTTCTTATATGTTTGTCTAATTATTTCATTTTGATTAATTCGATTTTCAATATAAACACTTCTCTCGAATTAGTTCTTTGAAACTTGTCGCTGTTGCTAAAACCATGCATACTTAACTGTAGATGGATGTGGTTGTGGGCATGCAAGTGAACCTTCGAGTACTGTTTTCTCACACCCATACCCACCCACACCCATTTCTGTCCATTAAACAAATTTCCGGAAATTAAGCAGATTTCTGGAATTCGAATAATTTCATGGAAAAAAAAATTGTTTTTGTTAACTAATCCAGTTTTCACCAATGAGATCTGGAGTAATAAGCTAACACATATACAAGTCTTCTCTCTCTGGTGGTGGACGCCACGAAAGATGGACACGACAATGGGTACGCATGGGATTGTACGCGGTTTGGCAGCGTCGAAGACGAGATTATAAAGTCTTTCACTGAGGTGCAGGACTTCCGAAACGCTCTGCTCACGTGTTCATATTTATTATAGTGTTATGTAAGTCTTGTAGAAAGTCTTTGTGTCTCAGGTTGTAGTTTCTTCTATAGAATGGCAAGGTCCTCAGCAATGGTAGCTGCTGGAAGTTTGAGAAGTTTCAACTGGAGGAGTTATTTTGTATGATAGTGTAACTCCATTACCTTCTAGACTTCCACCAAGAAAAAGTGAAAACAGCTTTCGAAAATTCGAATAAGGTATCTAATCGATTTGACAAATGATTTCAATTGTTTTAGTTTTGTAGATTTCATAAATATGATGACATTTTTTAATAGTACGTTGGTATTTATTTTGATATGGTACATATCCTCAGTTGGATTTGCTTTATTTCTTCAAAAATATTTGAATTCAGTAAGTTCGTACGACAATAACCATGACGTTTTCTCAACTATATGCGTAGCAGCGTTCATTCAAAATTTGTCGTGCTGCTTTGGGACGATTATAATATATGTAACAACAATTTTATCAAATCACGCTAACAGTGATTCGTCAATAAATCAACCATTTGTCGAATATTTGACTAGCGTAAAAGATTCGAAGAGACTGAAAACATTTTTTATTTTTGGTGGTTCATCGCATTGTGTCGGAACATTGATCATGAATTGGATGTTGACATTGTGCAATATACCCTGCGTTCATACAATACGTGCTTTAGAGCCATTATTCGCAAGTATTCTAGTATATTTTATACCAACACCGATCAAAGAAAAGCATGATAATGATCACTCAACAATTCATATGATAAGCAGCTGGATTGGAACTTTTCTCATGTTATTCGGTACTATACTTGCAACGTCGCACAGTGGTCAATGTAATTCATTGAGTGTGACAATTTTGCTTGGGGTTTTGAATAATCTTTCAATGATTGTCCGAAATGTTTGTATTCAGCACTTGAGTGTTAAAAGTAAAGAAATATATACACAAATGATTTTGTTTGGAATAAGCACATTATTATCATTTATATTACTTATTATAAGCGATTTTTCTTATTTATTAATTAAAAAATATTGGATCCTATTGTTACTATTAGGCTTGTGTAGTTTTATCTATAATACTACATCAGTAATAGTGTGCAGTCGAGTACCGTTAGTTACGCATAGTTTAATAACAATGTTAAAACGACCAATATTGATATTAGCATCAACCATTTATTTTCATTCTTACATAAGCTTAATGATGATTATAGGTAACTTAGTTATACTTATCGGCATTATATTTTACAAAATAAATCCAACAATTGTATTGTTTATGTTACGTATAAAATTATACATTATTATTATTGTAAGTTTCATTTTGATATGTAGTATAACAGTTATACACATAGTTCCCTTAGTATCTTATGCCCATCGTAACGGTTCATTACGTATTGATACTGTCCAAACAAATAAAGATTTTCCATTGTTCTACTTTAAATTCACTGATGCAAATGACAATTTCGGAGATAAATTGTCACACGTTCTCATAAAAGCAATTGTTAACTTTAATGTTACAGTCATCACAGATGATGCACACAAGTTGATCTGTGACAAGCCAAAATTATTAGCAATTGGTAGTATAATTCATTTTGCATGTCCGAATGATGTTATATGGGGTTCTGGTCTCATAAGTCCTTCAGCTTTTATTTCTCATTGGAAATCTATGCCAAATCTTACATTTGATATAAGAGCTGTCCGTGGTCCGAGAACGAGAAGCATTCTAATGTCAGAGCTTAACCTGACTGTGCCAGCAATTTATGGTGATCCAGCATTGTTGTTACCTTATTATTTAATATCGTTTAAGAAATCTACAAAACCAGTAATTCGAAGACTTCTCATACTACATTATACAGATGCTGATAAACAGACTATCACATCTGGATTAAATCAAGTAGTAACAGTTCATGTGTTGTTACCGTGGAACGAATTGTTGAGTTTAATTGTCCAAAGTGAATTAGTAATATCAACATCATTACACGGAATTATTGTAGCAGAAGCTTTTGGAGTACCTGCTAGATTATTAAAATCACCCCTTCTCGATCTATTCAAATTTCATGATTACTATGAAGGTACGAATAGAACTCTTCGATATGCAGCTACAATTGATGAAGCTATAAAAATGGGAGGGGAAAGCCCACCAAATATTAATCTGACACTATTGAGAAATGCTTTTCCATTTGACAAATTTAAAGCTGAATAAAATCAAAGCTTATTGACGATGAATGTGCACTGATCGAAAATGGATCGACCTATCTCTTAACCGCGAAAGGAAATATGCAATTTGTTAGTCTCGATTTTCACTTTTCAGCAATCGATAGTATGAGTGTGAGTGTGTTTAGAATTGATAATTTTAATTCAAAAATTAAAGATATCAAGTGGTGCTTCCACAACGCATTTTGACCTTGTTAAAGGATCTTTTCAGATAGTAGTTTTTTTCGAACAATGAAAATAGCGAGATATGTGTAATAAATGTATTTTAAAATCTTGTTGATGAATAATACAATAGTTACAATTATGATTGTGGATTGAAAGAATATACTTGAAAGCTTTTTTACAGTTAACGTAGCTATAAAGTTCGAGCCTCATTTATTGTTGCTGTATCCTGATGTTGTGACTCAGAAGCTAAAGGAACTTTATTATTAGCATTTTGAAAAATTAATCATGAGATTCTTGCATTCATTCTTAAGAATTGTTCAATAATCGACAATAGATTTCCTGAAATACTTGTGGATTATCTAACAATGAATATAAAGATGACGATGAAACTAAGTATAAGTTGTTTTTCTCAAGGTAGAACCACTTAGCCATTATAGAGTAGTGTTAAAAGAATAAGTCGTCGTTCATCCTGATATGTTTGTATCGTTGTTGAATACCGTACGACTCGATAAAAGGTACTTCATATAATATTGACGAAGATGTGTCGAGAATGGTCTGATGAAAATGGTAATAAATATGATTCGACAGCTTTTCTATAGGTAGATTTTTATAGAGAGCATAGTATGACGGAAGGAATGTCTACTAATGGAAAAAGGAAAATGTTATCTCTAGTTTCAGCATCAGTACTCATGAAATACAAGAGGGCGCAGGGATCTTCGACTACTTTTTAGACTGACTATATTTTAACAAGATTCTTTCATGCTATTAGATGACTGCACCATAGCATTTTCTATTAAATTGAAGACTTGCTAGCGTAGCCTGTCTGGTACTGAAATGTGGAACTTACATGTTCTATTTTGCTTCATTATACTAATAAGAAATACGTAGCGTGTAAAATCTGTAAAAGATCATAATTCTTTTCGAACAAGAGTTGATTGTCAGCAATCATTGTCTATTTTATTTCTATATTTGGAACTGAAATTTTGTTTTCCTTACGAGCGTCTTTTTTTATGAAATTTTCATAATTTATTATTATTATTATTATTATTTTAACCATTAATTTAATGGCCAAAGAACCTTTTGTAAACATTCATTATATCTACAGCAGATTTTAAGGATTTATTATGTATGTGACAGTTGTGGAAAGTCAAAACATCATCCTTAATATCTATTATATAATCAGCTATCTGCGCAAAAATCAGAAATTTCGTTATTTAGAATATAGATAAACATATTTCAGCTATTTAAATTGTAAGAAAAGTTCTGTAATGCTCTAGAGTCTTCCCATACATTTCTAATTCATAATAACGACACATACTCATACACATATAGAGGTAATGCCGACTCAATTATTATAATAAAATAGACTTTTCTTGTAGCTATAACTGGCTCAATGCTCAGCAATAATCAAAACGTGCCGTGTGTTGCTTTGAATCTATTGACTCATGTTATATCCTGTCAAATGAATTTATTAATTTATAGCTTTGCCTATATAAAACAAAAAGATTCTGATTCTTCTAATCTTTCGACATCATGAGGAATCATTTGCCATATGATCATTTCCTTAGTCGAGATTGAATCTAGATCATGATAGCTGCGACGTACTACTATCGTCTATATTGATCATTTTATCGAAGTAGAACAGAGTCGGCTTCTCTTGAATTGATTGTTTTCATATTAGAATTGAATCAACTTACAGCTCCAAGGCACCTGATCAGCTCCTTTCAGTAAGATTGAAACGTGCCATGATAGCTACAGCACATCATTTTAATAAGAAATAATTGCTTTTCTATATTCCATATTGAACTATATCTATTCATCGTAAGACAAAGCTACCTGAATAAGCTTTTGATCAAGAATGAAACCAATCGTAGCAGATTTATTCTATAACACAAACCCATTCACGCTCTTTTTTTGTTATCGCCTTTTTCTTCGTTTATTAAATATTCATCCTCCAGAATCGAGTATTCCATTTTTTTAATTATTTCTAGATATACACGGCACTATTTACTCTCCTTGAATAATAATATTTTGAAGAAAAAAGTAATACTAAATAATTCAATATGAGTACTTCCCAATCATTAAACCAAATAAATATGGTTACGGAAAATGGTTTTCGTTATTGGATATTTGGTTTTTTTTTAGAATGGGTAGAGACAATAGCGAAATTGATAATATTCCGTCAGAAACATTAATCGAAAACAATGAAAACGAATTCAAAAATGATCAATTAGTGTCTAATGAAGTTATCAATTAAAAACAAGCCATCGATACAACTCAGTACAAAAAACATGATTCCAAGTGAAAATCAATCGATTTCTAACTTTCTACAACATGACAATACAACAAGAAGGCAAGAAGCTCGACAAACACGATGCCAACAACGATAGCAGCGCCAAGGGCAACAAAGGCAATAACAAAGATATCAACGATATGAGCAATGGTACGAACGTCTATGGCAATCAGAATGAGAGCGCTTCAACGAGAGACTCTTGAAAGCCCACGAATTGAAAAAGAATGATCCAAAGGATCGATGCGAATAAAAGCAATTGAACGAACTGAAAGGAATCACTATTCTAAAACAATCAGCACTGATATAGGACAAAATTAAACAATCAAACGAGACCTATGAAATTAAATATATACAATATTGCTATTTCGTCCATATTGTTAAACTATCTCTATGTGGACGTATTTGCACAATATCATATAAAACATAGTTAGAAAGATATATTTTTCTATCATCGTTTATCTTACCAGTGACTCATACGATACAGAAGTCTTATTGCCATGTCATTTATTATATTTGCAGCCTAAAACACATAACTACTAAGAAATTCTCACAATATTCCATTGAGACATAGATACGAAAGATTTAATTAAAACTTTCTATATCAATATTGTTGAAAATTTCATTAATTCCGAATTTTTACCATACTGATATGCGAGAGTAATCATCACTCGTTTCAGTCACGTTTTATAGTTTCACACAAAACATTCGAAAATTCCAAACCACGTATACACTCTCGACTAACGTGATCCGTCTCCGCTGGTACAAAAGTGTAATTTCTACTCAAGTTCATTTTCTTCTGTACGAACTTAAAATCAAACGAGACTTCAGCCGTCTAATGAGTCCTTTGAGCAAGCAAGCAAGAAATCAGTTAGGATTACTTTGTACACACTCACAACTACATCTCATGCTGTTCAGCTTTTCATACTCTATATTTTGGTATATTGCATGTAACAATGCTCTTGTTGAACCATGATCCTAGTGGGTATTTATTATTTGACAGAACACTATGAGATGTTTCACGACACAACTGAGCAAAATATTTCTGTTTCAGTTAGTCAAGAAGGGTAAGTCAATCCTATTGCTTTAAGATTCATTTGCACTTTATAATAAAGATCAAGTGATAGTTTGCAAGTTTGAGAAAAAAATAGAGCAAATATTAGTCTAATAATTAAATGTATTTCATGCTTAAAAAAAATGATCAATGTCGTACATTAGTTCGCACCACCAGTGATAGCGCTTACATATTTCGGTTCCACATATAAACGATTGCAAAGAGTGTTTTCTCACCAAATTTGAATTATCGATTAAAAAGAATTCAAATTATTTTAATAGACTTCAAAAATATTCTTCCGTTTTTTATACAATACATTATCATACAGCACTTGAATAAATACTGCTATAATGTATATTATACTGATCGGTATACCGACGGTAGTTATCCCCATAGAAATAGATTGATAATAACAATTGTGTTCAGCATTTATTGATTTCATATAATAGATCCATCGTAGCGGAGGGAAATACAACATATGAATTATTCACAAAAAGATCAAAAATAAAGAAAGCAGAAATAATTTTAAAAAAACTACATGAGTTTTAATACAAGCTTTAATAAAAATGAACTGAAACCAAAAGAGATTGTCAAACGTTCATATCTTTAATAGAAAGCTTTAAGTTTACGATTAAAGGAAACAAAATATTACGAAGTGTCTTGTACCGATGAAGAATCCTTCTGTTTACTTTTTTGAGTGATCATGACATTATTCATCGTTGCTATTGAAATACATTTTTGATTCTTTGGTTTTATTCAGTGGATACTCGATTATTTCGGCGAACAAAATGATAGAAAATTTGTTTTCGTAATTGTAATATTACGTAAATTGTTGAAATCCTAATAAATATCAAACACATTGATGTAATAATTATTCCAACTATTTCATATATTAATGAATATAAATATCCAATCATGATTCCATATATCATAAAAATAATTGTTGGAAAACATAATTGAATTAATATTGATATTAACAATATAGTACACGTTTAATAAATGTTAAATCTCTATGATTTTGTTGTCGCCGTGTAACTGAAATAGTAATTGTTGATGTTCGAATTCTTCGACATATAAATATAGCGGTCCATATATATTTTGTTTCAATATAAATTAATGGAATGAGATATAAAATAAGAATATGATTAATTTTCGCATTGATATGTGAAAAACAATAAGACATCATTGCTCTGTTGATAAATGAGAATATCAATTGATAAAAATTGATGACATAAGAAAAGCAAATACTAATAGTCATTGACCAATAAGCAATATAATGTATAAAAATTAGGATACCAAAAAAATATCTTTTATAGAAAACTATTCCACATTAACGATAGAACACTTATAAACAAGAGCAAGAGTAAATTGAAGATTCAATTGTGTCATAGATTAAATCAACTATGTGACAACATTTCATATAGTTTTACTTAAAAAATTCATCAAATAAATTTGAACTACGTAGTCATTACACACATTGTAAAATATATTAATAATGTAGCAAAACAAGTATTACATGTTAATAAGAAAAATATATTATGCAATTCTCGACGACATTCGCTACAAATGACTTAAAGCTTTGCTTCAGCTAAAACTTGAATCTAGTTATTTCTTTGAAATAAAATTTATTTTGAGGATCATCTCTAATCAATTTGAGATAAGTGTCAGATTTTTCTCTTTGAAGTATAACAGCATGATTTGAAGAAAAAAGAAAAATACACATTGAAAATTTATTTAGTTGAAAATAGAATGGAAATTAAATTTTCTAATGAGTATAACCTAGTTTTCATATACACCAAAATCAGACTTCAATAATCAAAATACATTCAGAAAATGAAAATTTTCTTAAAAGGATGTTGGTGTTCGTGAAGATGTATGTGGCTAAGTGTCGTGTGTGGGTGTCGATATGAATTTCACGCATACCCTTTTCATTCGTAAAATCGGATTAAGAATGCTTAAGAGCTGTTCTTTTTTTTTTAAATAGCTTACATTGTGGAAATTGCTTTTGTTCATTGAAAATGCTATGTCAACGGAGAGTGTTTATTGTGCTCGTTCTAGTGATATGCATATAATATAGTTCTGATATCGAAAAAATGAATACTCTTATATAAAAAAAACACAAGAATCTTGCTCTGAACATACTGAAAAATAGGATATTTTCGCAAAAAAAACATCTCATAATTCGAGATGATAGCCAGAATTGTTGACTTTTACAGAAAAGCATAGTATGAAGTGAAGTGTTTACTAATGGAGAAATAAAAATTTTATCTGTTTTTTTTTCTGTTCCAGAAATCAAGGAATATAAAAGAAACACGAGGGCGTCCAAATACTTTTTGCATTAAATGTATATTTAAATATCTAAAATTTTCTAATGGACCTTCGATAGTGTCTAATTTATTTTCAAAATTGGTAATTAAAAGATTTTCTCGAAAACCAAAATGATTTTGAAGATCTCAATACGCTAATATCTATTTAAAAAAATGATCACTGTCGGCATTTTTGCAATAACTCAAGAACGGAAAGAGCTTAAAATCAACCATTTTTACAAAACATCAAAGAATGTATAAAAATGATCTATCGTTCTGATCAAATTTTTACAAAAACTAAGAAAAATTCATATTTTTCGAGAGACTAAACAAACAATTTTATTGGCTTAATATTAGAATGTGGAAGATAATCATTCCAATCCAATTATATCTTAAACTATAAATCTGAAGTCTTTCTATCTAAATCACATGTCAAAACCAAAATTTCATCGGAATGGCAAACCGTTTTCTTGCAATGTTTTGCAGAAATAGTTGATTCCAAAAGTGATTTCGTCTTATATAATATTAGAGAAAAAGACATTCCGATGTCTTCTCTTTCGACTGGTAAAAATCTCAGCTCTATAGCTCTTTCTATTCTTGAGTTATTGCAAAAACAGACATTAGAAATAATATTGATCTCAGTCTTTTAAGGCCTTTCAACTGCATACTAGGCAGAGTTTGATATAAATATATTAATTAAAGTTCAAATGTTGGTCGAAGTCAAATAACAAAAAAAGAAGTCTTCGTTTTAGTTGAGCACATCGTTTTTCCAAGGTGGATCTTCTAGCATAGAGAAGCTTATAGGGGTAGGGAGAGGCTTATGCACGAGTAAAAACTTGACTTCGTATTTTTTCTTACTGAAGTCAATCGACTTTGCCTTCGAAAAAATTTTTCTCAATCACTCCAACGGAAGTGGAGTCGGATTCGTTTTTCGATCTCCGATGTAGATCTTGAATTTCAAAAGACAGTATTTTGTTTTTACTTTTTAATGTGACTTTCAATAAACTAGTGATAAACGACTAGAAAAAAACCTCTACAGCTCAGCAAGCTTTATGCAGCAATATTACTTTATAACAGATAATCATTTGTTTTCAAAATCTTTAAAAAAAAATTCTGACAGAAGACACACAGATTGTTTTTGTATGGGCTCAGCCCACGTGTAGCGCTGCCACGAACTTGTGCTGATCGGTCATCTTAATGAGAAGAATACTAGAAATATGTAAAATTCAGATATAAAGAACATAAAATATTATAGATATCAGTTTGCAGTTGTAACAAGTGTAAACTCATTGCATACGAAAGACTTTTATTTTCAATTTAAACTTGCAGAAAACCAGTTATCTTTTAGCATCAAGTTGAATAAATTCTGAGTATCTCTGGTATTAATTCCATCATTTCGTACAATTTAGATTCAACTACTAGACTTTAATTCATGCTAAACTATTCTTTTTTTTCAAATAGAAAACTATATAATTCTTAAAAAACGATACTAACGTCATCTGTCCAAAGTTTGTCGTAAAAAAAAAAAGAGTCATCATTCCTATTACTAGCGTGACTAGAATTTTGATAGTGGAAAGGGTTGTTTTAACATGATAGAGCTGTCCAGTGAGGGGAGGTCAGATGCCTGTGATATGTTTGTTGGAGATGCTTGTCGCAGAGTTCAGTTCGCATAGTTGAAGAGGGCTCAGCTTCCTTCCTTGATTACGGCAGTAACTTCTATATTAAAAATTAAATTATAACTCATTTGAAAAACCTTTAACATCGAATGAAATAGACGTAACAGAAAACTTTTATTTTGTCTATTTTATTTACCAGCGGAAGAAAGTTTGACTTTAATCAGCTTTGTACAATCCTCTCATTACGATTTCATATTTTCGCTTATCATGTTTTATTTGACAAATAGACTTTATATAACGCTTTTCTTTTCTTTTGGTAAAGACCGTGTAATAATTATAACAATAATAATGTCTAAAAAGTTCTTTTTCTTTCGTTTGACAGCTACACTAACCAACAAAAAAAAAAAGAAAGAAAGACAGACAGAAAGAAAGAAGAAAAAATAAATCAAATGAGTATAAATTTCTTTTTACCGCTACTTAATCTGATTGAAAAAAAAAAAAAATTTTACACATGTGTCCTTGCAAACAACGATGGGTTGCAAACAATGTAAAATTTTCTTAACAAAACATGAAAATTATAAAAGTAATTCAACTATTATTGAACAAAATTCTACTTCAATTTCAAATAATGAACCAATAACTATTTTATCGAATAAAACTAATCTAAAAAATCACAAAACACATAGACAAATAAAATTTACAACAATAAATTCTCAATTATTACCAACATTAGATAATTTACCTGTTGAACTAATCTATCATATATTTGATCAACTGGACACTTATACAATTTTTACATCTCTTTATAATGTTTGTATTCGTCTTAATTCAATTATTCAGAAATATGATCAATATGATCTAAATTTAAATTCAATTTCAATGTCCTATTTTCATCATATTTGTTCATTAATAAATCCTGAACAAATTATATCTTTAACATTATCTGATGGAAATAATAATGTTGGTTTAGTTGAACTTTTTCTAAAAAAATTTCATATGGAATCATTTAAACGTCTTCATTCTTTAACACTTGTAAATATTGATGATAATGAACAAATGACAAAAATTATTCTTTCAATTACAGATCAACTCGAAATACTTTCAATTATAAATTCAAATGAATATTATAATGATACTGTTATTGATGTTCTAATGACAAGTATTGGAAAAAAGTCTTTATATAAAATTTATTTAGATATTGAAAAAGATCGTTTTTTAAATTCATCGATTATTTGGCCCGATGAATGTTTTTTAAAAGAAATTAATCTAATTGGTATTTGTAATATAACATTATTTCGAACTATCCTTCTATATTCACCAAATTTAAAAAAATTTCAAGCATATGATATTGATCTTGACGATGAATGGATTGACGAGGATGATGATGATGATGAGATAGAACGACATCAAATGGTTCCAATATTGAATGCTTCAAATTTGATCTCATTATCTTTAGTTTATGCAAGAAATGAAATGGAAAAAGTCGAATGGTTATTACCACAATTTACTCAATTAAAATATTTAAAATATTTAAATATATATGATTTTCATATTGAATCAATGTATGAAAGTGATTATTCATTACTTGATGGTAAACGTTGGGAAAAAATTATATATAATTGTAATCAATTTGAATTTATATTTACTATTCATATTGATGATGAAACTTGGAATTTTCATCATCATTTAACAATATTTCAAACAAAATTTTGGCAAGATAAAAATTGGAATATTGCATATGAACAATATGATAAAACTTTATTAATTTATTCATTACCATATGCTCATGATACTCATTATTATGATAGTTCAACATTTTTTTCAATACCATATAATCCATTTCTATTAAATAAATCGTTACAAAATGTTACAAAATTACGTATTAATATGACAGCAGTGAATAATTTAGAGCAACAAGTGAGTAAAATATTCTTTTTTTTTTCTATTAAGTTATCATCATAAAATATCAGTTTTATTGTAAGCAGAGTAATAAAGCATATTCCATAATGTAACTAAGTTTTGGTCGGATTAGATTTATGAACAAGAATGTTTCTACTGAAAATTGTGAGATGATCTGATAAAAGTTCATAGAGCAATTGCTCGTAGTAATTTATCATTTTTTGAGTTTCTATTTAGGACATACAAAAAAAAAACCTTAAGATTAAATTAATCCCAAACGGTTAAGTTTCAGTCAAAATGATTACTTCCTTCATCAAAATATTCAATGTTCTAAAATTGTTGATTTTTCTGATCAATTATGAAATCTAATTGATTTTAAAATATTAACTATTTCAAGAGGGAAACAATCGATTTGACGGAAACTTTTCAAATACTTTCAGGATGATGAAACTTACTAATAGAAAAATTTTCAGATTAAAATTTTTTCATTCAATTTTGCTGTTAATATTTCGTTGTTGGATATAAGTTCAGAAATACTATTGTAATTACTATCCATTTCTGAAAATAAGTCGCTTGGGCAGAATTCTTATAACTTTTGAAAGGAAAATGATACAGACCTGAGATTTTCACCGTTGGATAGAGAACATCAGGGCACGTAAGGCTATGCAAAAAAAGATCTGTTATACAAGGTACGTGTTTATAACTTTTTAATAAATTTGTGGAAAACCGCTAAAATAAGCTTCAAATTTAGAAATCTGAAATTTCCTTTTTCTCACAGGAAATCCTTCTCTTTCAAAAAGGGCAACTTCAACATTTTATCTTGTTGAGTTCAAATGATGCATAGGCACTGTCTACTGTATATTTGATGTGTAAATCAGTTGTACACTGAGATTAAATCTCAAGAATAGGCATATTTTATGTAATTTTCATCCAAATTTGACGACGCAGATAACGAGTATTTTTATGGATTGACCCATCGGTTTTTACGTAGACTTATGTGCCCTGATGTTCTCTATCCAACGGTTAAAACCGCAGCTCTCTATGACTTTCCCTTCAAAAGTTATAAGAATTCTGCCCAAGCGACTTATTTTCAGAAATGGATAATAGATAGAGATGACTTATGAAACTAAATCTTTTTGAAGTTATTCTAGTCTCGAATTCTTTCTGTATGTCCAAAACTCTGAGCTCAACAGTGATAAGTCACTATCGACCATCAAATAGAGTCCTGCATTAGACTCCACTGCAGTCGAAGTTGTATCAGAAAAAAATTCTCGCACATAATCACAAGTTTATTGCTCATAAGTCAAGTAATGAGCAAAAATATACTACTTTATAGATTCATAAATCATTTTCAAGAAAGAAACAACATCAGAGACAACATTCTTATTTTACAATCTTGGGAGTTTCTTGAAGTTGAAGTCGGATTTCAGTGTCAACAACTTTGACTATACAGAGCTCTGTAATCATTAAGTAGGTCTGTGTATGACATCCGACAGCTACCTATACTTGTTAAATTTTCGTATGTGTTCTATAGATGAACTTCGTACCAATATGATTGACGAGAAAAATCTCTTACCTGATTAATTGCTTTTGAATCAAGATCATGTGCATTATGTAGGCCGAAAAGAGCTGTAAATACCTTAAAATGAGTGCAGGCCCTTATTTTATTACTACATAGATAGTGCATTTTTACGATATTTTTTAATGAAATGTCGTGGTCCCTCTCAAGAAAACTGATTTTCGAATTGTGACTTGAAACTTTGTACCGAAACAGATTTTAATAAGAATAGCTTATTGTGTAGATTTCATATCTTTTTATTTGCTTCTATATTGGAATAAGAAGATGAAACTTACCAGTGTATACGATCGATGTAAAAGACATGCTTTTACCATAGCTCTATCTTAGAATTAGAACAACGACAAGACGACTTGTAATATTCACAAGAAACTATTCTTGTTAAGGACTGTTTATATGCAAAGTTTCAAGTCGAAATTCGAAAATCAATTTTTCTGATATTTCTGAGAAGAGTCGACGGTATTCATACCTAATTTGGGGATCTTTCCTTGTGAGACTTATTTTTATCAAGTTATATTTAAATGTTAATCAAAGCAAAAAAGATAACATGTAGCATGTCCTCCTCTGTCGTTAATACACATCTGTTATTTTAAAATTTCTGTAAAAATACTGTTTGTCGATGCGAGAAAATCAAAAAAAATTCGTAATATCGTTTTAGATTATTGGTCCTCCTCGTTTCTCTAATGTTTTTCATCTTATACTCGATGGACAATGGCGAAATCAAGATATAGTTGATTCTATTGGCTCACTTGTTTGTTTATCTAATATAACTAAATTAATACGATTAGAACGTGTACCAACATTAATCTTTCGTACATTTATTTATCGTTTAACAAATTTAAAATCATTAACATTAACAACATGTGTTCTTGATAGTATGAATGCAGCTATTTTACAGTATTTAAAATGTTTACATTCATTAAATATTGTACAATTGGATGATAATCTTTGTCATTTTGTTAATGTAGAACCATTTTGTACAATGTTTCCTCAAATTGAACATCTTGATATTCCAATTGATAATGTTGATAGTTGTCAATACGTTATTGATCGATTAGAAAAATGTTTAATTAGTATTGTTTTTCGTTTTCCGATTAAGGAAGAAGAAGAAGAAGAAAATGATGATGATGATGATAATGATAAAAGTAATGAACTTATTGAATGGGCACAACATATACAACGAAATCATCAATATCGTATACGTGATGGTGATATTTATTTATGGTTTCGATAAAAATTCTTTTCAATCAATTCATAAGGGAGATATTTCAGACCAGTAGTCAAATAAATTTTGTGTAGATATTGTATTTATTTTTAATTATATTAATTTAAGAGAAAAATATTTCGAGATCAGATACCTATTAATTTTTCCATCGCTTTAAAATTATCGAAAAAAGACAACATTTTATGATACCATAAGAATAAATATTATTTAATTTTATTACTGCTTGAATACTACAAGATTTCTCTGATATCGAAATATATTTTCATAATTAATAAAAAAAATAGAGCTGGGCAAACAGAGGTTTTTCAAGTCAAGTGACATTTCGAAATTTTTTTCATCAAGTCAACTAAATTCGTTTAAATTGACTCGAACTAACTTGACTTGCCCAGCTCCGGTACTAGTAAGTATTAGAAAAGTTTAATTTTTCGAGTCTTTGGTTTTTGAAATATCGAAATTTTTCTAAGTTTTTCAATAAAAAACTGTGAACCTCCTCAGATTATTTGAAAGATTGACTTTCGACGTGATTTGTTAAACAAAACCAGTAGATTTTCGATATCTCAAGAGCGAAAACTGGGAAAAAAACATTCCAGACGTTTGTATTATTAACTAGTATACATGAAATGAATGGTTGAAAAGTAATTTGATATCTGAAGAGGTTCTGTAGTGAGATCCAAGCAGTTCGATTCTGATTAATTCAAATCGATGAGTATGAGTTACGTATTTTATTGTATGACTCGATCGCTTCTAATTGTTGCATGATAATTAGTGTTAAAGCCTAGTATCAATATTATTCCTTTGCAATATTCAATAATGTATATGAAAAAGAAAGAGATATAGTTCTTTCAAGTATTATTTTCTGAAACACACGATATAAAAGGATTCCTGAAATATAGGAATAACATTTTTGAACTCCCTTTGTCTCCTACAGACCGTATATCAATAATATCTCGAGATAATATATGAACTATTTTCTTATTGTGTTTCTCAAGATAATGATATCATCATAATTCAGAATCGATTCTATTGAGTGTCGTTTTCTTATCTAGATCAAAATATTCTATTAGATTTATATTAACTAACCATGTCTGAATGTTCAGAAAAAAAATCGACGACATCTTGATAATTGAATTTAATACTACTATCGGCTCCAGAATTCAAGGCAGTCGGATGTTTTTTGAATAACTTTTCATAGGAACAAAATAGAGACCTGTGATTTTCAGTGTTGGATAGCCAAGACCTAGGAGCATATTTTCATAAGCAAAATCTTTTCTGAGAAAAAATTCGAAGATCCGTTTTTTAGAGAATTTCTGAAAAACCATGCTGGATTTCTGAAAACTGCCATAACAGTCTTTTGATTTTTTTACATATTCGGAATCCGCATCGAAAACTGAGTCGAATCACGTGTGTTTCGAATCTTTTCACGAACTTTTTTTTTCGTCGAAAAATTCACCCCTGGTCCCCATGAGGGGAAGGTCAAAAAATGAAGGCAGCCAAAACTCCATCTTTATTGTTTATTCATTTGCCATTTTATGTTCTATTAGTATTTTAGAAGCTTCGAACTCGATTTACGTTGTCCCAGTGACCTTTTGACTGACTTTATTTTTTGATCTCTTCCTCAGGAGGACCAGGGGTGAATTTTTCGGCGAAAGAAAAAGTTCGTGAAAAGATTCGAAACATTCATGAATCGACTCAGTTTTCGATGCTGATTCCGAATATGTAAAAAAATCAATATACTCCTATGACAGTTTTCAGGAATCCAGCGTGGTTTTCCAAAGATCCGCTGAAAAACCGATCTTCAGATTTTTTTTTTCTCAGCAAAGATTTTGCTTATGAAAATCTGTTCCTGGGTTTTTCCTATCAAATGCTGAAAACCGCACGTCTCTATTTTGTTCCTATCAAAAGTTATTCAAAAAACATCCGACTGCCTTGAATTCTGGCGCCGATAGTAGAATGTTTATCATATAATTCTTCTCTGCATGTATTATGATAGATAATAATTCATAGTTGCATGTCGACATGAGTCATCCACATTGTAAAAACTCAAATTAATGTTGCAAAACTGTTCCATTGTTCAAAAAGCAAAGATTCTTTATTCTTTTTTTGCATTCTAATCCCACTATAAAGCAAACAATTTAAAAATCTTTTACAAGAAATTAACATTCTTTATTTTTAAACTGGATAATCCTGTCATAGAATATTTTCTAATTGTTTAAACAGAGCATTTTTTCGACTCGATTCACATGAATAATACATCATAATACCTACCATGGATATTTCTGATTTAGTTGTTGTTCAAAATTACGACTAGTTTTACATGTTGTTGATACTAATTATATGAATATGAGATTGACTTCATATCTATATACATAGTAATCAATTACTAACCTATTGAATCATTATTAACTTGATCCATAAAATCTGATACTATTTTATATTGCTAGAAAATAATAAAATGAAATAATATAATAAAATCAGATTTTTTTCTATTTCAATAATTACAGTTTGCCTTAAAGATGTTTGTTGATGAACAGGTATTGTGTCTGCAGGTGGATGATAATCAACTGTTCCACTACGAAGAAAATCTCGATTAATTTCACGAAGCTATACAAGAAAACTTAATCTCAATAAAAAAAAACTCTATAAATAAATATTCTAACCATAGGCCGTTGTTCTTGTAATTCATTGCTAGCTTCATCTCGTATTTGTTCATTTTGATTATTATTTATTTGACTTGGGTATATATTTGTTTTTTGACTTGGCATAAAAGCCAATGATGATCGATAGATGTTAGATTCTGATGTTTGTTGTTGTGTATTGAATATTGTTCGATGTTGATCTAAACTATATCGTTTAAATTTTTTATCCATATCTGTTGATGATGTTTGTAAAATATTTGTTGAATGTTGCTGTTGTTGTTGTTGTTTAGATCTTAATAAAACTCCATTTGAAGCATAATTCAATGTAGACGATGTAGGTAATTGTTTTTCACGTAATGTTTCTTGTCGTGTTAAAGATTGTTTTGATTGATGATTTTTAAGATATTGTTTTGATAATAGAATATTATTTGGATCATGCTCATTATCATTATCCATTGTAATATTTGAACTTCTTGGACTAAAAATAGAAAATTGATTTAATTGTTCATCATTTGATTGGGTTCGTATGATTTTTGGTTGATGATAATACAACGCTGACGATCGATCAGTTAATTGTGTATTACTACGATATTGTATTTGTTGATTAATAGAAGATGAAGCAGTAGATGAAATATCAGTTAAATTATCAATACTTCTATTATTGATATTTAATGGTGAAGGTCGACGTGGAAGTTGAATTTCATTATTTTCATCATTTCTTTTAAAAGAAAAAACAAGGGTTAGAAGTATTCTTCATTATTTTAAATTTACAATTTGCTGAAACGTCTATCAACAAATGGAGTAGTACAATCAACTATTTCATTGTTATGATCAATTTCATATTGAGATGCACTAATTGAACCAAAAGCAGTTTTTCTAAATTTATTGAATATTAAAATCAATAAATGTTCTATTATATATAAGTATATGTCATAGGCAAAATTGATTCTTAGGTAAAAATAAATTCTAATTTTCATTTCCATCAAGAGAACATAACATGTATAGCTTTTTATTTTCACCATTCATATTCTAATGTATGTGCGAATGACTTCTTCTGTGTAGACATCAGTTTTAATTAAATATACTGGCGAACTCATCTTTTTCGAGTTTGAAAAATACGATCTAAAAGGAGTGTTGACGTATAGGGATAGAAATTTGGACTCACTGCTTCCACAGACGTGATAGACATCATGGAGAAGTATTGATAAAATACGCTCGTATCCACTCTTAGCATCGTTTTACTTGAGATGTATACTAGTCGATAAAGCTTGAAATTTTGAGTCTACTGGATTTCACTTTGAGTCAATTCTGGAAAAAATATTAAGAAGGCAAAAACCAAAAAGCTTTAACAGTAGTCCATCTTGAGTCAACAACTCGACAAAATAAATGTTTAGAAAATGAAGTCAAATGTAGTTGTATTACATATTTTTTGAACTGACTAAAATCATCAGGCATTTATCACAACTTCGTCTAACGTCATTCTTCCGAATATTTATCTGTTTGAGCTCATAGCTCAGAGTGGGATCCAGTAAGCTTAGAATCACAAGCTCTATCAACTGGTAGAAGTTCCAAGTAAAGTGGCGATCAAAATGAATCAGAGCGTATTTTACTAATACCCATTATGAGGAATCAATACCAACCGTGACAGACATAACCATGAGACCGAAGTCTACCGCGGGATTAGTATGATAGCAATCTTTTACTTTTCTTTTACATTCACTCCAATATGTTGCAATTAATATCTTTTATCATCAGCGTTCATTAACAACAGCTGTATATTGATTAATTCCGCAAGGATTGAACTAACAGCTAATTTTTATTTTTGAGTCTTTCAAAACTCTGTTTAATTTTGCCTAAAAGTCAACTTTGCATGACATATATATATATATATTTATATGTATATATACGGTTGATGATATTGTCGTTGCAAACAATTTTGGTTTAAATATAGAAAAGCTTCATGTTGAATACATTTTTCAGCTGTTAAACGATCAGCAGCATATAAACGTAAAGTATTCTTGTAACAGAGAAAAAAAAAGACGAAATCAACATTATTATATACAAATATTTTTTTACTTTAAATAAATGCATAATATCTGATGGAAATAAATGACCAAAACGTTCTTCCAATGTATCTAAATGATGAATAGGAGGAAACTAAAACTCATAATTTAGATTTTGCTTGATAAATTCAAAAATAAATTTTTGAAAATACTTTTAAGCCTTGAAATTTTGGATTTGTATTCATAGTTAACGTATATTTTGTTGGTAATGGTCCTAAGCACTTTTGAATACGATATAATTGATCAATGTCACTTTCACCCGCTTTAAATATATTTCATAGAAATAAATATAAAGAAGAAAAAAGAAAGAACGTCTACCGAATAATGCCTGACCAGTTTTAAGTTCAGCCATGATACCTGAAAGAATTTAAAAATTTTTGTTTTAGAAGCAACAACAAAGAATTACTTACATCCACATGCCCATACATCAACTGGTTTTCCATATGGGGAACTAAAAATACAATTCAAGAATTATAACTTAGTTCAAAAAGAACATTTCATAACCCTTCAATGGTCAAAAAGTTTTTCTAATTTCACAACAGAGATTTAGAAACTAGAAGAATATTATATTTTATGTTTAGAGAAATTATGAAAATAATATATTTCTAGATTTTTTTAGAAATTTTTATATTCTAATACTTTGATTCTCGTAAATTACAGATTGTATAATCGACGCTTATTTTCATTTTTTTGCACGAATAGGTTTCAATTCTTTTCATTCAATCAATCTCGAATAAAAGACACTATCAGGCTAACTGTTTTTGAATCTTCCTATAAAAAAAACTCTGTAATATAGAGTAAAATAAGTCCTTTGAAACAACATATTGAAAAGTCACGATTAACATGTTTAAAATACGATGAAGAAAGTTTGTATATGTCTATAAAAGTATCTTTGAAATCAAAATTTTCAAAAGATATAATATAAAAATTTTTTTTCTAGTTAACTTGAAACTAAGATGTGCAACTCTAAATTAAGAAACAAACAGTAAGTTTATTACTGTAGTACTATAAAATGATCAATGCATATCTCATCAGAATAATACATGTTGAGTATCATTCCATTTTCGATAATGTAGATTCTAGTAGTCTTATTTGTGAGTTCTTGGAATAGATTTGAATTTGTACAAAAAACTCTTATTAATAACTCTAATTGATAAGTTTACTTACAATGAATGAAAAAGAGAACTTTCAGATTTAAGATCTCACTGTTTGAAGGTGTAGCATCTTGTGCCAATGTCTTCGTCGATTTTAATTTGTACGAGTAATACACAGAAAATAGATTTTTGTGAAAAGTTGTACTTCGATTATAGAAAAATTTGTTTGAGAAATGCTTTTTCTATCAGATTAAGATTATGCGACAACCCACAGCATAATCCTAATTAAAAGACTCAGCTCATTTACAATCTAATGAAAAGGAAGAAAATCCATATAAACTTGGCAAATCGTTTTTTGTCGAAACTTACTAACGAAGGAACATTTCCAACTGTCTTATCGTTTTTCACTCGAAACTAATGCTATTCGATCAATTATGATGAGTATTAAAGAAGTCTGTTTTGGTTTAATTTTCCCGTATTCGCTTAATGAGTTATGGGTGTTGTACTCGATTTCTGCCCTACCAGCACAGGAAAATTGAGAATCTAGATGATCTAATTTCGAGCTGATATTATATCCATAGATAGGTCTTATAGTGGTTAGAAATACTCTAAAGTTTGAGTCCGAACGACCATATCTCTGCTAAAATATTTAGATTTTAAAGAGAAATCGATTTTGGGTTGTATGTTAGAAAATAAAGACACCTATTTGACAAGTTAACATCTCGATACGGATCGCCTAAGTTCTCAGCAATTTCATGCTCACAGAGCAACAATCGAATAAAACACCCTTCAATATTAATAGTACTATCTTTTGTTCTCTTTGACTATATCTTTATTGTTATCTTTACCCCACAAGTAACTCAGGTGATCGATACCATCGTGTTGCAACCTTAAATTAAAATAGATTGGAAAAAAATATGAAAAAATTATTTTCTTACATAATCAGTATAATAATCAGCGATTGCTTTTGTATTACAAAATCTTGCAAAACCAAAATCACATAATTTTAAAATAAAATTTTTTGATATAAGTAAATTTTCTGGTTTAATATCTCGATGAATTATTTCATGTGTATGACACCAATGAATAGCACTAAATAATTGATATGATAATCGATATACATGTTCTAATGATAAACCTTCGGGATGTTCTTGTAAAACTTGTAACATATTCTGAAAGAGAAATCTTTTGATTAAAATGAAGAAAAACACACAACATATTCAATTAACCCATTCGACATATTCGAATACAAAACAACATCGTTTCTTATCACGAAACCATTCAATTAATTCAACAACATTTTCAAATCGAAGTGATTGAAGAATATTTAATTCACGATCGATAACATCAGCATCTGTATGATATCCTTGAAAAATGCAAATTATAATAAATTTATATAAAATATTCATTAAATATCAAACCAGGAGCTTGTTTAAAATATTTTATAGCAACAACTGTATTTGAATCCTAAATTGAAAATGAAAATCGTTTCGTTTTTTTTTTACTCTATTATGAAAACATACTTTTTTTCGAGCTTTAAGAACAACACCATATGCACCTTATAAAAAATAGAAGATTAAAATATAAAACAAAAGAGAGAAACTTTGCTAAATCTACCTTCACCAATAACACCAAGTATTTCATATTTGTCTTTAATCTTTCGTGGTATGTATTTCATTATCGACCACTTCGTTTTTTTTTTCAAATACAGTGAAAAAAAAAAAGAAAAGAAATTTCACAAAGAATTCTTATAAGCAATCGATCGATGTGTTTGTGTATCTTTCTGTACGACTATTAAAAGTCTGAAGCCTATAATTGTGATGATGCCGATGGCGGCATGATCGTCTTTTTTGTTTGTTTTATTTGCTTGCTTTGTTGTGTCCTTTTGTTGACGTTTTCTATTCTTGATTTTTTTTCTTTTCAATAATTTTTTTAAAATTGTTGAATCAATAATTCTGACGATAAATATAGTCGAAGGCACTAAGTAAGATATGTAAGCCGAGAAAATGTTTCTTAATTCGTCTTGAAATTGTGAACTAATCACAAAGTACAAATTCTTATTTTCATAGCATGCAATCATTATTTTATCTTTGATAAATAACAGTACATGTTTAGTATTTCTTATCTATTTAGGTCATAACATATTGTAGTTACTTCAATAATAATCGAAGAACTATTTCAAATTTTTAATCTTATGTAAACAAATATTTAATTTTGATTCTTTTACGATTATAAATGTGCTCATGATAGTTAATGAATGAATGTTTGGTTGAAATATTTTCTGTTTGTTTGTTATTTAGGAAATATTACATTTTGTTTCTTCTATAGTTGAGATAAATTCATTGAAATAGTAATTAACTAAATAAATATTCGTGCACTGAATAATGCTATGCATATAGTAGTTATTTGGATTGTTATCATAGTCAAGTACGGTAATTGAGTAGTAGTAGCAATCCTTATGCATAAAATGAGTTTCAAACAACATTAACATTTGATCTTATTGCTCATATGCATAAGGTTTCATTTGATCAATTTAAAAAAGATCGCTTTGACAAAACTTTTTATAATAAAAGATGATTTGATTTTTAAGTCAATTATGAAATTACGAAACTAAATCGAAGAGTGAATTAAGAATTAATTGGTTTCTTGTTACAAAGCATATTTTTTTCATGGTTACATATTGTCTTCAAAATAACCAAGATATAAAAGAAATGACAACAACATTTTAAAGTAATATTGATGCAAAATTCAATGTAATTAATACAGTAAAAGACTGTTCAACATTACGATGAATCAATACGCAATGTTGAAGGGCCTAAAAGACTTTTTACTGTATATAAAGTGTTTTACAGATATATAGAAAATCAATCTGTATAAGTAGATCACCATTTTTCTTCAGTTGAAAATTAATCTATTGTCATCAGTTCAATTCTCTACGAAAAGAATAATGTAATATGCAATCTTGTAGTTTTTTTTTCTTGACTAATTAGTTTTGATAACAAAAAATGGTACTAAATAGTTTGATCATCTAGTATTTCCTTCAATTAAAACAATAAATTGTTCTAAAAAAAGTGAGACTATTATAGTACTTCTACTTGATCATATCTATAAAAATATAGAAAACAAGTCTTCTTAAAATCGATTTCATTTTATTATTTTTTGTATTAATCCTTTGAACAAGAACAGTTCAAAACATTGTTATGAAAAGCATGGTAGTTATTATTTCGTTAGATATTTGAGCTTACAATTATATTGCCTCCTTAATGAAGGATATATTGATCAATATTTTAAATAAAATCATTCTGCGATTCATGTCTTTGCTTATTTTCGTCCGAAGAGTAATTAATTGTAATTTAAAAGATAAAAACACTATAGGTCGGCTTGTCCACGTAACACGAGACTTTGCTGATCAAGTTTTTGAAAAAGTTTCTTTCGAGTTAGACAGATTTAAATACTTTACTAGATGCAGTTTTGCGTGTTAATTAGGAATTTAACATTAGTTCTTTAAACAAATTTTATTTTGAATTTCCTGCTCAAGAATTTTGTCGAAAAATGTTGAGTGATACGCCATTTAATGTAGAATTTTATTCTCTACAAAATGACTTACTTATTTTTAACTTCTATCGATAAGAACAACTTGTACATTATTGTACAGTTTCTAAAGGGCCCCACCGGATTTGCCGAACTATTTATTTAGAAAAACTACATACAGGGCTTTGTAGAGCTCAAAAAGATACATCGAGCGGTACGTAGAACGGATTGATTTTTCTATTCAATTTCAAGAATTTTTCAATATGAAATAGTGTTTTGGTATTATCAGGATTCATACAA